CTCTACAAGAATATCAGTGCCAACGATGGTTCACGGAATTCCATGCTGGTGATTTTGATCTCAACAATGCTCCTCAGTCAGGGAAGCCCACCGAGGTTGCTGATGACAAAATAAAGGCATTGATCGAGTCAAACCCACGTTACATGACACGAGAGATTGCAGAAACATTGACCATCCATCATTCAAGCGTTCACGACCACCTGAAGAAGCTGGGATATGTAAGCAAGCTCGATATTTGGGTTTCGCATGAACTCAAAGAAGTTCATTTGACGACGTGTATAAACATCTGCAATATGCTCATTAAACATGAAGAAAACGATCCTTTTTTTGAAGCGACTGATACCTGATGATGAGAAGTGGATTGTTTACAACAATGTGGTGTGCAAACGGTCTTGGTCCTGACGTGATGATTTGCCTCAAAAGACATTGAAAGCAGACATTCATCAGAGGAAGGTTATGTTCTTAGTGTGGTAGGATTTTAAAGGTGTTGTGTTTTTTGAGCTCCTACCAAGGAACCAAACAATCAATTCGAATGTGTACTGTTGGCAATTGAACAGTTTGAACAAATCCATCATCCAGAAATGTCCAGAGCTTGTTAATTGTAAAGGAGTTGTGTTCCATCATGACAAGGCGAGACCGCACACAAGTTTGATCACCCGTCAAAAATTATTGGAGCTTGGATGCGATGTGTTGCCACATCTACCATATTCGCCTGACGTTGTGCCGTCAGACTTCCACTTGTTTCACTCTCTTCAAAACTCCTTGTGTGGTATAATGTTCAATTCAGATGAGGCTGCAAATCAGCACCTTGTTCAGTTTTTTGCAAATAAAGTTCCTTCTATGCATGAGGAATTATGAAGCTCACTGAAAGATGGCCAAAGGTTATCAAACAAAATGGGCAATATATCATTGATGGATCTTTGTTCTTTATATAAATAAATGACCTTTGAAAAACATAGACAAAATACTTCATGACTTTTCCGACAACCCAATATAAACGCTAGGGCGTGGCTCTACTGGAAGACATGGTAAAGCAGGTGGCTGTTTGTTCCTGTTCGCAGTATGGCCACCAGTGCAACCTTTGCAAAAGAAACCTGATCCAAGTGTGCCGTTTTGTTGACTGGGATGCAGTAAGCAGATTTGCTGTGGGTGAGGTGGTTTATTTCTCTGGAATGGTGATGACTTTTGGTAAAGTTTCAAACAAAAGTACACAGTTACTTGAGAGTTGAATCCCTGGAAAATATATGTAAAAAGAGGTACTCTCTAGGTTCAGATAGTCATACTGAAGGTTCAAATGAAAGCAATCAACAGAAAGACATTTAAAAGTTGTGGGGGACTTGGGACCTTTCCTGGATTTGTGGAAGACCCCTAGCCTTGTCCCCTGAGGGCCAATTACTGGGAACTAAAAATACTCTCACTTTTTCCAAAGTTCCTCCTGGGGTACTGCCCCCTGGGGAACCAGGGGCAGATAACAGTCTCCTTTGTTTATAGATTACAATCAAACAACAAAAAGAAGTCCTGAGAGAGTATGATTTGCCTCAGGTCAGAAATGTGGCATGCACAAACTAGGTATGTTTGGAGATTCTTAAAGCTCATTGTCATTTTTTTCCGTTGAGAATGGTGATTGATTTATTTAGATGACTGTGCTTTTAAGAGTAGGGTGTAGTGTCCTTTTCACACACCTGCCTTAGCTGTCATATTTCACTGCCATGATTCACTGACTGACTGTTCCCTTGGAGGCATTCCCTGGAGCTAGTGAAACTCAGGAGATATTTACTTGGGTTCTGATGTCATTTAGTTGTCTTTTCTTTTAATAGTAGAATATTATTTAGTGACTGGCTAATGCCCCAGAAAGAAATTGGGCAGGAGAATGGGAAACTTGTATTTCATATTATGAGATAAACGTATTCCTAAATGAAAAGTCAGAATCTACTCAATCAGTAATGAGTATGCTGCTATTCAGTTGGGAGAGAAGAGCATTTAGCTTTTTAAAAGAAGCCAAAAGTAATATTTTTCTGAATATAGTAAATATTTTTTAACTTAATATGTAAATTGTGATTTTTTTTTAGATATAAAGATACCTAATTTGTACCCTGAGCTTCATTAAAATTTAGAAATGATTTTGTTGTGAGGCATTCAAATATTTAGAATTTTAGCAACTTTAAAAAGATATTTCATGCTAAGCTATTTTACTTTTTAAATCATGCCATCTTGATGCTTTCGATTTTCAAATTATCATTAAAAAATTGCATAGATCATTGAATTAATGGCAGCGGAACTTTTCAGTATAATCCATAAATACAATTTTGGGAGGAGGGTGTTATGAAGTTACAATATATATCTTGGTACTTTTACTATTTTTATGTTTAAGGTAAAACTATTTCCCAGTAAAAATAAAGTCCATGGCTTTATAACAGAGGTAATATTCAAGACATTCATTTTTATGGGGGGAACTATATTTTAAAAAGAGCACGATTGGTGCAAAATATGAATTGCATAAGGCTGCTTAACTGAAATATATTTTAATTTGATTACATAAGAAATATTTTGTTTCTCAGTAATTCCCTCTTGTTGGCACAAAATCGGAGTAAATCTTTGAATAATATATATATATGAGTATGTTCAAATGAAGTCCAGAGGAAAGTTCTTGGGAGCTTAATGGAGAATGTGCTCACAGAGAAGCAGTTGCATTTTCCGAAATCCAAGATAGACACAGAGCCTTCTGAATTAAATTTGATTGAATATTCAAAATTTAAATATACAATTTATCTAAAAAACCCATTTACTCAGTGCTAGTTGTTTAGCTTGTGGAAACTTCTGGCCTTCACTTCTTTTTCCCTCTTGCGCCTAGTATTATTTGCGGGGAGACTAGGGCAAGAAAATGAAAATCCATAGTTACAAAATTTTCAGAGTCAAAATGGTGTTTTAGCCTACATTTTACAGTCCATCCAGCCTGCTATTATTAGTATGAATTTATGTAAATATTGTATCATTGAAACTGAATTCCTTGGCAGTTGGGTCTAGATTGCTTGTGTCCTTTTTCCTTTTAGATGGGATCATGGAGACTTAACAGTTATTCTAGGCATGGCAGTCCTTCCTCCTGACCTATAGTCACTATACAGGGACTACAGAATCCATATTTTCAAGTACTGTTTGTACTGAAACTTTAAAAAATTAGTTAGTTTAACATTTCTTCAGACAGAATGCACTTAATAGCACTTGTATCATAGGGGATATCAGATTAGAGAATTGCCTTGTATAAATGGCTGCAGCAGAGAGACCCACAGTATGAAAGATTAGATAAGTTTGCTTCTCATAGACCATTCAGGGGGTGAGTTTTCTCTCCTGGAGAGGCAGCTCTACTCCAAGAGGCCATTCAACCACCGGATTCTTTCCGTCTTACACTTCTCCGTATGGAATGCACCTCATCTGCGTGGTTGGAGCTGGGTCAGTGCCACCTCCACATCTCATCCTCTGGTAAAGGGGGCAAGAGAGGCCATGAAGGACAAGCACCTCCTAAGCGGTACACACATGTGCCTGGGTGAGAAGGTCTGTGGACCACGAGCTGCACAGGAGACTGAGAAAGGGCTTTGGCTGGCTGGCTGCATGCTGGTACATGGGGCAGGGGGATCTGGAGGACAGCTCCCAAACAACCTAGTGCCGCCCATTATCTTGGTTTCATGTTCTCTCGTAAAATGTTCCGAGTGTGGTTCAAGAAGATAGGTCCTTTCCTTCCTCCTTCCCTCAAATGTTTGTTGACTACCTACTGTGTGCCAGACACAAGAAGAAAAATTTGAAGTGAATGTAAGTGGAGGTTTCTTATCATGCCAAAATTTTGTCCATTTAGAAGAATTTGTATTTCGACTTTATATTTATTTTCTCAGACTATGACTCAGTAGGTTCAGATTTTGCCTAAAATGATTTTCCTTTTTGAAAACTTGACCTGCTCATTGGATTCAAAACTCAATTTTTTTAAAGGTGTTTTTAACGGTTTTTTTGTTTTGCTTTTTAAAAAAATTTTATTGGGGATTTGGGGAAGGGGAACAGTGTTGGGGAACTGGGGAAGGGGAACAGCCAAGTTGTTGTCCTTCAATCTTAGTTGTGGAGGGTGCAGCTAACTCGGCTCCAAGTCTAGTCGCCATCTGGCCACCCCTCTGCAGCTCGCAGCTGCTCAGCTCAAGGTGTCCTGTTCAATCTTAGTTGTGGGTGGGCGTAGCCCACCATCCCACGCAGGAGTTGAACTGGCAACCTTGTGGTTAGGAGCACGTGCNGGATTATTACCTTGTGGGAATCTCGGGTTACCCAGTCATCTGAATTTTAAAGAGAAGCCAGAGATCTGCATTTTTTGGTGACATCTTTAGGTTTTTTTTTTAAATGCTGGCTGACTAAAAAAACCTAAACACTTTGTGGCCCAAGTAACACACATCTGTGAGTCACGTTTGACTGCAGGCTGCCCGCTGGTGGCCACTGCTGCCCACTGCTGCAGTGTCTGTAAACGACCTGTTATTATTGGGTGTCCTGGAATTTATAATAACCTCCCAGGGGCCTTTATGTCGGGGCCCTTCTAGGAATGCGTTTTTGGGCTTTCTTGGCTACCCTTGCCACTTTTCCCCAGCATTCACCAGGCCTGTTTGATACCAACTCCTGGGACTTAAAATTTGTGTTGCAATTTGAAGAGACCGAATCTAGATGTGCAAGCAGTCTGGGAATATAGGTCTCCCTAATGGAGAGATTTATGGTATTGGTGTTTGGGGTTTTACCCCTCCTCCCCGAAGGTCAGAGTATAGATTATCCCTTGCTGAACAGGGCCCCAGGGCTTGTTGGATTCACTGAGCCACTTGGATAAAAAATGATCCTTTGCACACCTGCCCTGTGTGTGTCTGTGTGTGTGTCTGTGGGGGGAGGGGGCATAAAGAAGCAAAGAGCATGTTCCTTCTAAAGGGGCTGTATTGTTTCTAGAAACAGTTTTTTTCACTGCTTTTTAAAACTTTGTGTTACAGAAACAAGACTTTGATGTGGACACCCTCAGCAAATCAGAGCTTCGCATGCTCCTCAGCGTCATGGAAGGGGAGCTGGAGGCCAGAGACCTGGTCATCGAGGCTCTGAGGGTAAGCGAGCGCCTTCGGTGGGGGGCTCGTGCTGTGGCACTTTCCTTTGGCAAAGCGCCAGTGGCGACGCTTCCTTTTCTTAGTTTTTGAATCACATAGATTTAAATGTTACATCAGGTTCAAACATGCCCCTCCCCCAAACATCAACCCATAATCTTCACAAACTAAAACACTGAAGTTTCAGAAAACTTGAGGTTCAAACTGCATTGGTTCCCAAATCATTTTATGGTTCATGCATTTATTTGGTTAAAGACATAAGTTTTCAGAAAATTGGTAATTTGGTATCTTGCATGTATGTGAGGTCAGTGAGGAAAAACTAAGAGAATCATTTATATAATAGAGCTTTTTCCTTTCTATATAAAGTATCAATGATTTCTTATTTTCAGGAACTCAGAAGAGTTAAAAACTAAATGTTTATATATACACGTATATATCTTCAAATAGTTTTATTACCTTTCATCTGATCTCATAATAATTTTGAAATTTGCATAACTTGTGAAGAATTACCTTCAAATATATTACTTAAATACCTCAATAAAGTTTGTTGTTTTTTAAAAATATGGTTGTTAAACTTTCTCAGTGTAAACTTTTCTAATTGGTTATTCACAGCCTTGCACTTGTTTTGGTATGTGAGCCAAACTTAAGTTTGTTT